GACTTCAAGAATGTCATCCAGTCTTTACCTTGTTTTTGAGTACATGGAACATGATTTGGCTGGCCTAGCTGCTGTTCAAGGTGTCAAGTTCACTGAGCCCCAGGTAATGGATTCGTTTGAAAGCCTTCAAGCATTGCTATCTCTATTGATGTTGAAAAGCTATCAGGATAAAATGTGAATGGCTTTCTTATATTAAATTTCCTTTCTTCTAGCATATCTATTCTAAGTTTGTGTATAGGCACTTTTTCGCTATTGTTTAATACTGTTTAGCAGCTCATATATATATATATATATATATATATATATATATATATATATATATATATATATATATATATATATATATATATATATATATATATATATATATATTTTAAGTTGGGCTATAAAATAATTGTTTCTTAACACTTGATGAATGTAACTCTAGATGAGAATGATGGATGGATGACAGGATGTATGGGATACAAGGACAAAGTGTACTCCAAATCACTTTATTTGAAGTAAGTCACAATTGATATCTATTTAGGACAAATTGAGAAATTGACAGGATGGTTTTACATGTTCAATATTGGCTCATTGATGGACCTCTTAGAAAGAGTGATGGTGATGATAGTAATAGGAGAAGAAGAGATATATTCAAACTTTCGTATACTGAAGTTACCAAGGATATGTTAGATCAAGTGCTTATGGATGAAATGATGAATGTGTAGTAGGAATAGGAAACTAAATATTAGGTAACTAGCTCATTTAGATTGGAATAAAGGTTAGTTGAATTAATTTTAGTTGACAATGAGGTTACATGAATGCAGTTAATGTTTGTTGAGACTGTGGGTCACTCTGGATCGCTGTTTTGATGTCAAAATTTCCTTAAATTCCTACATGCATAATGACTGTTTATTAGTATGGGCTTGTCCCTTGTTCCCCGTGAAAACATCTCCTGTTTCACTGTTTGCTAGTTGCAGCTGCTTCAAAAGAAGTATACTTGTACATTCCTGTTTCTACTGGCAATTAGTCATGAATGATTTACGTTCTAGTTTCTACTGGTGATGAAGAAACTGATGATGTCAAGTTTAACTCAATGCAATGTGTGTAAAGGGTGTGTGGAATCAGAACCTTCTCATGTTATTCATAGTGAAAGCCTTATGCTTCTTGACAGTTTTCTCACATTAGTCAGTTATAATAAAGGTTAGCTATTCCTTCAGAAATGTTTGGTAATAAAGCCCTACTGGAATTGTAACAAAGATAGCTGTACTATTCATTTGAACCCTTGTCTTGACCCTTTACCGATTGCCCTTCACCTTTCATAGTTCATATCAGATACATCTGACTAAAAATGTCTTTCTATCTTTGTTGTTGCAGGTTAAATGCTATATGAAACAGTTGCTTTCTGGACTTGAGCACTGCCACAACAATGGCGTCCTACATCGTGACATAAAGGGTTCCAATCTACTCATTGATAATGAGGGCATTTTAAAAATTGCTGATTTTGGATTAGCCTCGTTTTATGATCCTGATAGCAAGCACCCCATGACTAGCCGTGTTGTCACCCTCTGGTACCGGCCCCCTGAACTTCTGCTTGGAGCTACTTACTATGGTGTAGGTGTTGATCTGTGGAGTGCTGGCTGCATTTTGGCTGAGTTACTTGCTGGGAAGCCAATAATGCCAGGACGTACAGAGGTGTGCCTTTTGTCTCATCACTTCCAATATTTAATACAACTATACAAGCTATCAATTTTCCCCTTTAGTCCTCTAAATTGATATAACTATTTTGCACTGTTTTTCTTTCTAGTATCTTATTTATTTGTTTATTTTTTTAAGGAATATATCCATCTTCTTCATGCCATTTTTCAGTTTGTTTATGCTTCATTTTGGTACTCTCTATTAAGTTGTTCCTTATTCAGCAAACATCAGTAACTTTTGTTGTCTTATCAAATTCCAGTATCAAACTCTGCCATTTACTTTTTCAAACCTGTATCCAAGTCAATTCTGTTGAAATCCAGCATATAGTCAATGTAGTTCAGCATTTCTTTTTCTCATATATATACCTGATTATATAGTTGCTGAGGTAAACTTTTTATTCTCTAAATGTTTCACTGTTTAGGTTGAGCAACTCCACAAAATATTTAAATTATGTGGTTCTCCTTCTGAAGAATATTGGAAGAAATCCAAGTTACCAAATGCTACACTTTTTAAACCACAGCAACCTTATAAACGCTGTACAAAAGAGATCTTCAAGGATTTTCCATCCTCTTCATTACCTCTGATAGAAACTCTTCTTGCAATTGATCCTAATGAGCGAGGCACTGCCACTGCAGCCTTGCACAGTGAGGTAAATCTTATTGATAACCTGAGTGAATTGCAAGGCAATTTTGGTTTTTACTATTAACCTGGATTTGCAATTATTGTTTATTTAGTTATTAGCTAATGGTCACAATTTCACTCTTTTTCCTTGTTTGAATGTACATTGGGGCTTTACATTCACTTCCCACTTCAATATGACTACTAGAAGTATTTATCTTCTTGTCACTTGGAGTTTGTATTTGTAATAAACACGTCAACCGTCTACTGCAAAGTAATGTTTCCTGTGAACTTTGTTCTTTCTTGTTCTTTTTGTTTTTTAATAAGTTCCTGCACCTGCACACTTCGATGTGCTGTAGTTAATCCCATTCTTTCGCTGCTTTTGTCAAGGTTGATCTATAATGCCCTGGTGTTAAATGCATTATGAATTAGTTTTAATTGCGTTTATGAGCCCAAATCTGGAACTTTAAAGTTCTTGATGTGCTCCTGTACTGTTGTTAAACTTAGACCAAAAGAGTAATAGAAGGATTACAGCTTGTAAGTCATCTTTGTTTGTCTCACTAGCTTTTATTTTAGGAATGTGATTCTATTACTATTAGTTAGTGCAAATGGGCCTATTCATTTTAAGTTTCCTATTATTATTTCACAACTGTATGAACTTGCTGACAAATCAAACATTTATTGCAAAACTAAGTTTATAGTATTTGTGTCTGCATGTGTGGTGCATCCACATGAATACTATGATAATATGAATTTAAGTATATTTCAATAATAATGAATTAATTTGTCACTCTTTAGAAGTATGTTTTATCCTGACATGGTACTTTCATATGCACAGTTTTTTACTACTGAGCCATATGCTTGTGAGCCCTCAAGCTTACCAAAATATCCTCCAAGCAAGGAAATGGATGTAAAGCTGAGGGATGAAGCAGTGAGAAGGTATTCTTTCTTAACATTGGAAGTTCTATTGACCAAATCTCATTATCTTCTGATACCTGGACCTTTTTCAACAGGCAAAGAGGTGCAAGTGGAAAAGCCCACGGGCCCCATGTGGCTGATGGAACCAGAAAAATAAGAGTTCGAGACAGGGTTAGCCGAGCGATTCCAGCTCCTGAAGCTAATGCAGAGCTTCAAGCAAATTTAGATGTAAGTGCGGTGATTTGTTTTTATTTTTTACACTGTTTTCTTTGACACAAGGCATCATCTCAAAGGCATGGTACCTTAAGTTTTTCCAATCAAGTTAAGGGACAATGTGAAATTTTTATGTTCCTTGATCACACATTCAGTTTTGTCAATTTGTGGCTTGAGGGATTTTGTTTAGGTTTGTACTTTCTCCTGTTCCGTTGATCATTAATTTCTCACTAATGCTATCCAATATAATACATATTGTTTTCTAGGATCTATTACTCTGGAAAGCTCAAATATGAGGAACTATAGTCATTAGTCATCCAAGGGCATTAAACCTCATTACATTTACATGCACATCTTTGAATTTTATGGCAAGTTCAAAGTGTTTCAAATGACTTGGGCCTTTTTTTTTTTTTTTTCCCGAATCCCTTTTTTGATTTCTCCTCTTTTCCTGCTTGTGTTTATTGGCATTTATTGTATCTTTTTATATTTAAAGAATTAATGCCCTCGTTTTATCTTGATCCAGAGGTGGAAAGTGATGACACAAGCTAACGCCAAGAGCAAGAGTGAAAAATTTCCTCCGCCACATCAAGATGGATACATTGATGCAGCATATAATGGCCCTTTATCATTTGGTGCACCTGATGATACTTCTTTTGCTTCATCAAATTTTGATGTGAAGTCATTGCAAACCCTTAAAACTACCTCAGCTATGGCTGGGACTTCAAAGCGGAGGAAAAATAAGAGAGAAGAGCCTCATATGGCTCCTTCAAGGAAGCTCATCCATACATTCCTTCCATCTTCTGTCAGGCTGTCATTGGATCTGAGACTAAGGAGTAGAGCATCAATCTCAGAGAACTTTGGCCACTCAAGGTAGGTTTTTTTTTTTTTTTTTTTTTTTTTTTTTTTTTTTTTTTTTTTTTTTTTTAATAAAGAATTATGGAAGAATGATTTATGTGTTGGTGCATCAGAATTTGTTGTGTTGGTTTCAGTTGTTCTCATTTTTGCTTTGTAAGTATCCAACAATTTTGTGTATAATTCGGTTAGGATCTAAAATGTCATGTCAGTCGTCAGAGGATATAATTTATTTACATCTACTTTTGCTGTACAGTTTTTTAGTTAATTAGAGGTGTAACTGTTAAAGGTATTTTTACACTTCTAAGATACTATCATCTTTTCACTTTCTATTCTCTTTCTTCTTACTTGTTGTATACATTTGAGTGGGGTTGGGATTAACCCTGAATTTACACACTACAGAATATTCAATATTCTCCTCCCCATTGAAATCACATTGGGTGATTGATTTGAATTTTTCCCATATGTTTTAATCAAACTAGCATCACTTGTTAAAATGCCATTAGCAAAACAATAATAATTATTAATATTAAAATAAATTTTTAGTAAAACCATCTCACGGTCCCTTGCGAGATGTGTATATTATTTTAATTAAAAAATGTTACATGTCTCACAGTGAAATCACCCAAGACAGACATTCTAATTATTGTTATTATTAAGCATGACAAAGATCCAAAATGGCTAGCTAATCTTTTTTCTTTATTTCTAGGAGACTAGAAAGCATGCAATCTTCTATGTCGTGTTAAAAACCAAACAAAATTTATTTTTGATAGCTCAGTAACAAGCTAGACGCAGCAAAAGGAAAGCCGCAATGTAGACAAAGAATCAATATCCACAACGTATGAAAATGTTAACAGGGCCAAAATATCCTAAGCAACTGATCTGTAGCATGCCCTTTTTGCTGCACGAACAATGTCTTCAACCTGTTGAGAGATGGGAATGCAAGGTTGAGTTCAACATAGCAAATCAATGAGTTGTAAACTTCATTATCTTCTTTTATATATTCTTTCCAAATCTTTGAATGAATAATTTGTAGGCAAAGAATTGGTCAAATTGCAGCTAGGCTGTTTGGGAGATTAACAGCTTCTTCTGATTGAGTATAGTGGGCTATAGCTAACATATTTCTAGGGACTAGGGAAATGTCTGCACAAGTTTACAAATATGACAATTTTACCATTTTCAGCTTTCACCCAATCATCGCTGAGACATGCCAACATTTCTTGTGTCTCATTTAGTCTTAATGTCCGACCAATCATTCAGCAATATCTCCATCACATTTCATCACCTCCTTTTATTGGTGTGCATTAAATAAGGCACCCCCAACCAACACACACAATGAAGTTCCAAAACTTCTCAAAGTAAATAATAAAATCTTGGAGTACAAACCTGTGGAACAGCCATTCTTTCAAGATTTGCTGCATAAGGCATAGGCACATCAGCCCCAGCTATCCTCTCAACTGGTGCATCAAGGTACTCAAAGCTTTCCTCAACTACAGTTGCACTGGTGGGTTGAAATATAAAAACATTACACACAGGAGAAAATACGATTTTTTTTTTATTTTTTTTTAGGGAGGGGGGTTAAGGTGGTAACCAGATCTCAGCGCCAACACCATGTTGAGGAAACGCTTCCTCCACAGTTACCAGTCTGTTGGTTTTCCTAACAGAAGCATTGATTGTAGATCTATCAAGTGGTCTGATTGAGCGCAAATTGATAATCTGTTCACAAAATAATAAGATGAAACTTGGTCATATGTTAAGAAATAGCATATAAACAAAAGTGGAATATGAACCCTTCAATACCTCAGCACTGATTCCTTCCTTTGCAAGAATCTCAGCAGCCTAGCAAGTTAAATTCATTTTGAAATGCAAACAGAAGCATAGACATAGTCAGCACAATAATGGACTTTAGTTTTGCATAGTGGCTTTACAGTATGCAAAGATCAAGATTGTTGCTGAACAAGTTAAAAATTTCACCCAAGTTGGGTAAAGGATCAAAATACTTCCTGGTAAAAGAATGCCAAACCTTGAGAGCATAACCAACCATTTTTGAGAAAGCAGTGATTGTCACATCCTTTCCATCACACTCAATCTACCAATTGATTGTTTAAGTGAAAATAAACCCAACTATATCAATCATGGAAAAACAATTTATGAAAGGCCTGGGAACTTACTTTAGCTTTCCCAATTGGAAGACAGAAACTAGAATCAAGAGCTTCAGCTGATACAGGGAAGGACTCACCATATCTGGAGCAGATATACTAGATTATTAAAAATGACCCCCAAAAATCCACCAAACTCTCCAGAATAGAAACGCACAACACAGCACTTAACAGCAATTCATTTTCAAGGAAAACAACAGGATCTGGGTCCCTAATAGCAGCTTTGAGAAGGCCACGAGCATCTTCAGAAGAGTACGGAGACAGCACCTTCAATCCTGGGCATGCAGCATACCAAGCTGCATAGCACTGTAAAAGATCTTGTGCGTTAAATATGCTGTGTAAATTTTATTCTGCGTAGGCATCACACATTCTCTCAAATGCATGTACGAATGCACAATAGACATTTAGAAAAATAATCTCAGTCGTGCAAACAAACTATAAAAATATTTGGAAGAACACAAGTTTTAAGTTTTTCCACTTTAAAGAAATCCCAAACATCCTGAAGGGAAACATGAAATCTACTCCGAGAAGTTAATAATACCAAAAAACTATTTAAACGTCCAGTTGAATGTAAGATACTGTCACAGATGAAAGTACTATTAAACCTCAGATTTTTACTGAGTTATGAATGAGTAATAGACAAACTATTAATGGATTAAAGGGATTATATAGATCCGCATATGATTTATGACCCTTGCCATTTAACACTTTAACCCATTAATTTAAATAGGTGATAAATGGATTAATCCATTTATTACACAACACAGCTAGATCCAACCCAAAGCTTATGGAACCCACCAATTAAGCATCTCTACTACTAAAGTACCACTCTAAAATTTACTACTTCGTCACTCACTTGAAACATGGTGCTTTTAACAAGGATTTATCATTTATGTAACCTGAATTACTGCCAAGTAGAGAAAGGAAACTCTTAAGTACTTTCTGTATATGTAGATTCTTACAGAGCTTAAAGATCTCTTACAAGTACCAATAGAACTTGAAAGAGGATAAATAAAAAGTATCAAGTCAAACCTGGGAATGTTGGGCACCAACACCAGCTGCAGCTCCATTAGGGCCTCTGAAAACAATAGGTACAGATATCTGGCCAGCAGACATGTAGTTTGACTTTGCAGCAGAATTAATGATATGATCAATTGCCTGCCAAGGATACCATACACAGCCCATAACAAAAAATACAGCCTCTACAAAAACAAATGGATAACACTCCATTTTTAGCAGAAGACCAATGATGAAAGAAAATCTGCAGCTGACTTTTAGGTGATCAAATGATGATTACTCAACTAAAGTTACATAGACTAACTGCCTGCAAATTGGTTATGGTGGACACCAGCCATTAGGTCAATTATTTTTCACTCCCTAAATAATCTGTGTCACAACTAGCTGACTTCCCATATATATTAAGAGCCAGAGGGTATATTATCGGGACATGAAAGCTGTTGGCAATTATAGCATTTGTCTGAGACAGTAAAGCTTTGGGCACATGATAATTGCTGATTATCAATTTTAAAACATAACCTCAAATCTCACCATATTAGCAGAATCACTGAACTGACAATTATTAAGGAACAGCTGCTATGTACCAAAAGAAAAATAAGGAACAGCTGCTAGAAGGATTTATATATTCTCTACGGGAATAAGTAACGACAAAGAAGAACAAATGCTGAACCTGCATTGAAAAGTTAAATGTCATGAATTCCACAATAGGCTTCAGACCATAGTAAGCTGCACCTACACCAATCCCAGCAAATCCAGCCTGTGAAACAACATAGAACAGTTTGTTTATACTTTATTTGATAAAGGATTCAACATATGTCCAGGAAAATATGGTAGAAGGAGAAACCTCCGTAATAGGTGTATCCAGAACCCTGTCCGGACCATATTTGTCCAAAAGACCTTTTGAAATCTTCAATGGAGAAACAGTCAAATAATCAGCCGTAAAGAAGAAAAAAAAATGAACATGTAATGATACAGAGAGGAAAAAGTAGGGTAACAAAGGAAGCAAAGAGAGCAAACCATGCCTTGTATGCACCCTGGTACTCTCCGACCTGTGCCAAAACAGTAGGAAAAAGAATCATGAAAAGCTCAATATTAGAAACGCAAATAAGGCGAAAACAAGGTAAAAACATATGAAGAAATAAAATAAAACCATGATGATTACCTCTTCACCCATCAAAAAGACCTTAGGATCCGCAGACATTTCTTCATCAAGCGCGGAATTTAAAGCATCGCGCACTGTTATCTGTGATATAGTTTAAGCAGCACTATGAAGGAAGTTAGGAATACAAACATTGAAGATGAGAAGTGAGGAAAAGAAGAATAACCTCTTTTGCTGCAGAAGAGTAACATCTGGATGCAGATACCCTACTTCTTATCAACAGGTGATTTAAACTCTAAAAAGCAGATAGAAAATGAAAAATTAAGCACAGCTCTATTGGAATACATGAAGCAAAACGATCCAATATTTACCAAAGAAGAAATGCCTCTAGAAGCCATTTTGCGAGCTATAACTGCGGACATACTCGCTTCTTCGAAGATGAACACAACCCTAATCAACAAACAAAATGCAACAAAAAAACACAATATAAACAAATCTTTTATACTAAGTGGAGAAATGCTCCAGGTTTTCATTACATAATATAAATCACCTCGGGTCAACTATATGACCACCAATTTGAAATGAAAACTTCTTTGTTAATACAGTTTTTCATTTTGAAAACTTAAAACATTCTTCAAATTTCTAAAAACTTGGTAACTTTAAATTTTTTTTTTTTTAAATAAAACCAAGTTGAATTACATATCATATCAGAGAAAATTTCAATTTTGATCACACAACTAACTTTTAAACAACTATCTTTTTTTTTCAATTTTTTTCTTACTATAGGGGCTTTGTTAATTTCAACAATTAACTTTTAAAAGTGTCAATTTAGTACATTGAATTTCAATTTTAATCATTCTGACCAAATTGCCGGCCAAATTTGACCGTAAAAATTTAATCCAACATTTAGTTTTAAATATGAGTGGCAAAATCATCTTTTATATCCTTTCTCCTAATTAAGTTGTTGACCCTGTTCAGCGATGAAGACTTCTATTGTTTGAAGAAGCTTTCCCCAACATTGCGTCGTGTGTTAACAACTATGGCGTTACCGGAAACCCTGCCACCAACAATCTCTGCCATAAATGCTTCAACGCTGTCTCCACCTCCATTTCCGCCTCAACGACGACAATTCCTCATAAATTATTCGACAAATTTCCTAGATCTATCGTTCGGAGGTCGTCGCCGGAAACAACGCAAGAGGATTAGAGGTTAGCAGGCGGTGATGAAGCCAAGGTCGATAGTTCGCCAGTTCCGCCTAGGAGAGAGGTGAGCCGGTGTTCTGGTTGCTGGAGAAAGGTAGGATTGACCGGATTCCGATGCTGTTGCGGCTTTTCTGCGGCAAACACCAGAACTCTAACTGACATGACTGCAGCTACGACTACAAAATTTTTGGCCAAGAGGTGATCGCCCGAGAGAATCCAGTCGTGAAGGCCGCTAAGATCATCAAACTTTAAACTGGAAAAATAACAAACACCAATCTATGCAAAACAGGAGGAGGTTGCTGTTATTTGACGGAATTATCTCGCTCAACGAAGGAGTCTTTATTGCTGAACCGGGTCAACAACTTAATTCGGTCAACTTAATTAGGAGAAATGATAGAAAAGATAATTTTGCCCCTCAGATTTAAAACTAAATGTTGGATTAAAATTTTCCTATCAAATTTGGCCGGCAATTTGATCAGAGTGATCAAAATTGACAAAAATTACATACTCAATGTACTAAATTGACATTTTTGAAAGTTAGATGTTGAAATTAACAAAGTCCCTATAGTCGTGTGACCAAATTTGAAAATTTCTCTATGGGATGCTAGATCGTGATTATTCCAATAGTTTTATTTTAAAATGTTAAATTTTAATATGTAAACAAACTAATTTAAATTTTATAAATTTTCAAAAAAAAAAATTTAAATTTTATAAAGATGTTTTTTTTTTTTTTTACATTTATCAGCTTATTAAGCAGCTAATTTTATTAAACATTTTCAAGCATAACAGCTAGCTTAACAACTCTTCAATTTTCAATTTTCAACTACTTTTTAGTTAGATTTGCCAAACATAGCCCTAATCATCTAACAATACAACCAGTACAAAATGCTTAAAACATTATCCAATACCTAAAGATTCAAATTGCTCAAATCTTTAGTTTTTAACCAAAATAGCACAATTCATACATAATAAATTGAAAAAAAAAAAAAAACCAAAAGTCCAAATTATACATTAGTACACATAAATATTAGTATTATATAGAGTACAGACACACACAAGAATATTGATGTATAGACTATGAATAAAATGTGTATTTTTAAAATACTAAAGGTATATTATACGTGGATTAAAAATACATTATTTAAAAATACAAGTAAATTATTTGAATAGTGAATACTAAATATACGTTATTTTGTATACTAATGTATATTCAGTACATAAATAATGTACCTTTAGTATATTAAAAATGTAAATATTAATATTTTATTCATGATTCAAAAAATATTTGCTAAATATTATTCGTAATATAAGCTCGTATTTACATTAATATGTACTCTCAAATTCTACTTCCTCATTTTTATTTATTAATATAATAGATAATAATAAATTATTTTCATTAGGTGGACTCTAAAAAGAAATATCAATATCAATAATTTAAAAATAATTAAAAAAGTATAATTTGGAAATCTACATAATATTTTTTAGTTTATGAAAAGTATAATTATTATTTGCGGGAAGGAAGCCAAAAAGGCTGGCAGCGCGCAGCTTTTAGGAAAGTAGTGACAAAAGAGACCAATGGTTGCATGGGAAGTACTGATCGCTTGTCATCTCCGTACAAATCACACTCCCCCATTTCCTATTCTCTATCGCTTTAATTATCTTGCTTTGGAGTTTGAAGATCCTTTAAATAATACTCGTACTCCGTAAGAGCATCTACATCAATAGATAATAGGAGCATAATGTCAGATTCAATCTCTTGAGTGGGGATAATATCTAGTGTGAAGAAGAGATAATGGTGAGAAGATTTGTCCTACAAAATTGGAATTAATGTCAGAAAAGAAGAAAAAAAATAAATAATGAACATGAAACGCGCACAGCAGCAAGCCCACATGGGCGCGTCAGGCGTGCCGAACGACGCGCCTGACACCTCTGTTTTTTTATTTTTTTTTTGTTTTTAATTTTTAGTTTTGGTTTTTTTTTTTTTTCCTCCCCTTCCCCCTTCTCTTTCCTAATCACTCTTACATTATCCCCCTATTCTCCCCAACCATTGTGGATGCTCTAATAATAAAACTACCATGATAAATCTCCGATTAGTGACAAAGAATTTGTGATCTAGTGAACATATCGTAATTAAGTAGTTGAGTAATTGTGAATTAGTGGGTATGTGATAAAAATGAGTGCAGGTAAATAAGTGAAGTATAAATTTAGTTTGTAAATAATTAAGTCATGTAACTGCATACTATATTATATCAAATTGTACATTTTGTGTATAAAGATTTAAATTTAAAATCTCAACGTTCATAATAAGAATTGAATTCCCTTCATATTGTTTTAAATGAAGTTTGATTATATTCGTTGTAGTATTTTCTTAGAATTGAAAACAGATTGGGGCACAAGGAAATGCTATGCATGACAGTATGTTCCACCTTAAGGAAAATGGACCAGAGACGACTTTGAAGAAGACCCGAAAGGACCAATGGTGTGGCATAACCGAGTAAAGTCTCCATTATCGTACAATTAACACTTTATAGTTTTTTTTTTTTTTTTTTTTTTAATAATATAGTTTCTACTTTTAATGTTGTTTTCATACGGAGTATTATTTTTCCTTCTCCTTCATCGCTAAGCTTCCTATATATTCACTGTTATATATTGTTATCATTGTCACATTATTTGTCCTTCCCCTTCATCGCTAAGCTTTCCTATATATTCACTATTACATATTGTTATCATTGTCAGATCAGAGTATATTTATATGATATTATTACATATATGAGAACATGCATATTGTAAAAAATACGAATTAATTTCATTCGTTCAATTATAATGATCAATGACTATAAATTAATAAGAGAAAAATATGATGATATTTTTAAATTATTATAATACATTTGAGATAGCTTGATAGCATATTTTTTGAATAATTGACAGTACATTAAGATCTATAATATAGTGCATTAAAATGTGTGAATTATTAATTTTCCGTGGATGTATAGTATTTATCAAATATTTTATAATGTACGTAATAGGTACGAAAATGTCACTACATATATTTTTGTTCATATTTATTTTATTTTCGCATGTTGATAAACCCAAATAGTTAAATGAGTTTAATTCATTTAGGGAGTTGTTGTTATTATATGATTGTTGATATTTATATATTGAGATATAAGAGAGATCACTAAGCACTCATTCACTAATACCATCTAATATTTTATTATAATTATAATTATTATGTATAAATAAATATAATAATAATAATAATAGATTGTTGGTTGATTTTTTAAGATATATAAGAAATTTTATAAATTAAATTAATGTTTTCCCTAGGGTGCCAAAAGGATATGTAATAGGTAGTATTTATGAAAAAATAAAAATAAAAATAAAAATCTTTCCAAATATTTACTACGGAGTAAAATATTTTCCGATATGAAAATTTATAAATTTGTGAGTCGGTATAGTAGGTGAATGCCGTGTGTGTTCAGTTGTCTTCTGCTCCTCCACGGCTCCACTACTACTGTAGGCTACTGGGTAGGCTAGTGATCGAGTAGAGTATATATATTTGATTGTAAAATCAGTAATATAAGGCAGGATCGGAATTGAAGTTTTAGTTTTTATATATGGCGGCGACTCCGAAAGATCACGTAGAAGAAATCCGCAGAAGAAAGTTTAAAATCGGAGTAGAGTCGAAGTCTCTGAAGGATGAGGATGACTACTCTGTGAATGAGGACATCCATCAAGCCGTTAAACTCCTCTCCGCCGAGCTCTACTCCAAGGATGTCCACTTTCTCATGGAACTCATCCAGGTCTTCTTCTTATTCACTTTTATTATAAGCTAATATTTTAAGCCATCTCCATGGATCATATCTTCCTTCATTCAGTGATTAACTAACTAACTCTATCATATATCATATATATAAAATGCAGAATGCGGAGGATAATGAGTACGAGGAGGGAGTGGATCCCAGTTTGGAATTCGTCATCACATCCAAAGACATAACGGACACCGGAGCCAAGGCCACGCTCTTGGTATTCAACAATGAAAAGGGATTCTCCCCTAAGAATATTAACTCCATTTGCAGCGTTGCGCGTTCCACCAAGAAAGGCAACCGCAAGACTGGCTATATTGGCGAGAAAGGTACGGTCGACTATTTCTTTTTTCTTCATAACAATCACAATCACAATATATATGTTTTGTTTTTCTCATCAAAAAAATATTTAATACTATACAGTATACACCTCCACCTCCCATGTAAAAGAAAAACTAGGCCTTCAAAACAATGGATAATTTAACTGTCATATATGAATATATATGTGTATCTTTTTATCAAAATTTTCACAAGTATTGTTTAATACATCAAATAGTTTAGATTTTATTCCCATTCGGCAATTCTTATTATAATAATAATATAATAATAAGCAAATAATGAGCTTTAGATACGATCACAGTCACTATTCCCTCTAATTTATCCCTGTTAATCCAATTCAATGATGATGAAAGGAATGGGAGGAGCTAGCTGCTTTTATTGTCTTTTTTCACAGTGTCACACGCACCATGTATATTAGTTTAACATATGTGCCGTGCCTAGCTAGCTAGTCTTATATGTATATATATGGTGTTGAAGGTAGGTAGGTATAATCTATCTTTGCATTGGAATTATATATATTGTGTACGTGTTTCAGGGATTGGGTTCAAGAGCGTGTTTCTGATCACAGCCCGGCCTTACATTTTTAGCAATGGCTACCAGATTCGGTTCAGTGAGGAGCCTTGCAGCCATTGCGGTATTGGTTATATTGTTCCAGAGTGGGTGGTGGATGACAACCCTGTTCTTGCATGCATAAGACAAATCTATGGTTCTTCAACCCCACTCCCTACCACAACTCTAGTGTTGCCTCTCAAGTCTGACAAGGTGAATCCCGTGAAGCAGCAACTTTCAACCGTTCATCCTGAGCTCCTCTTGTTTCTTTCAAAGATACGCAAGCTCTCAGTCAGGGAAGACAATGAGGATCTAAAGCTCAATACTGTGAGCACAATATCCATTTCAAGTGAGACAGATTTTGTTAAGAAGAAAAACATTGATGCCGAGTCCTATCTGCTAACTCTCGCTGCTGATGAAAAGTTGGGTAACGCTGGACAATGCAGTTACCACATGTGGAGGCAAAGATTCCCAGTCAAGCAACAACACAGAGTAGACAGAAGAATGGATGTTGACGAGTGGGTGATTACACTTGCATTTCCAATTGGAGAACGTCTCAACCGGGGAACTACCTCCTCCTCCTCCTTAGGAATCTATTCTTTTCTTCCTACAGAGATGGTCACCAACTTCCCGTTTATAATCCAGGCAGACTTCCTACTTTCATCATCCAGGGAGACTATCCTTTTAGATAACCCATGGAACCAGGGAATTCTCAACTGTGTTCCCTCGGCCTTCCTAAATGCTTTCACCTCTCTAGTCAAAGCCAATGAAGATGCTCCCGTCTCTACTCTCATTCAAATGTTTGGCTTTTTACCAGTTGCAACTTCTTCTTATGCAACTCTTAATGCCATAAGAAATTCTATCAAACAAAAACTGCTAGAGGAGGATATAATTCCATGTCAGTCCTACACAAAACAGAAGTTTTTCAGAAAACCAAATCAAGTTGGTAGGCTGCAGCCTGCCTTTTGGAACTTGTTGAATAAGGCAAGGATGCAAGGGGTCACTTTGCACAACATCTCTTCCCACGGAAGGCATATTCTGAATTCTGCATTTGATCAGGAGGAGTACAATGACATTCTCAACTTTTTGGACGTAAAGCACGTTGAAGATGGGTGGTATTCGAGGTGCATTCAGAGCTCTGATCTTGTTTTAGGCGTGTCCGAAGATCTTTACTTGGAACTGTTATTATTTGTTGCGGTCAACTGGAAACAATCTTTTTCAAGTACTAATATGGTGAAAATACCATTGCTGAAGTATGTTGACAGTAATGGGCATGTGGCACTGTGTAGCACAAATGAGGTATCTAAAGGTTATCTCACATTGCTTCTGTGCACTTGCTCTGATCAAGTATCGTGGCTGACTAGTTGGAACAGAGAGTTCCGCTGCATTAAGGGATATTTCATTGCTGAATCAACACAAGAAGCATTTCACAGTTCTTCTTCTAATAAGTGGCAAAATGTGTTGAATTGGCTTCGCAATGAGGTGAATGTTAAATCTGTAGATGTGCATGAGTATGCACGTCTGATCCACAAGTCACTGAGTCATGATCAGAAGCTTGTCCTCGCATATGCTCATTTCCTATATCACTCGTGTCAGAGTCTGTATTTGTCTAGAGGACAAATTGATTCGCTTAGGAGTGACATGCCACTTGTTGATGACTATGGGCAGATTGTCACCAAAAGAAAAGGTGTTGTTGTACCTGCAAATGGAAGTAAATGGGTTCAGCTGATTGGTTCGAATCCATGGAAAAGTGAGGGTTACACTGAGCTCGGAGAAGACTATTTGCGTTCTGGAAGATATGCTGATGTATCTACCAAGAAAGAAGAGCTCCTTGGATTTCTTAAATCTGATGTCCATGCGTTGGATATTCCCAATTTGCCTCCTCCAGATGCTACACTATCCAGTATGTCTTCACCACTAACAAGGGAAAACGCATTCCTGCTGTTAGATTGGATTGGTAATATGAGAATGCAGCAAGTTTCAATGCCAGCGAGGTTCTTGGCCTGCATACAGAATGGAAGTTGGCTTAAAGTCCGTCTATGTGGTAGTCCTGGCTATCGGCCACCATCACAATCCTTCTTCCATTCCTCATCGTGGGGGCATCATTTGCAGAATGGATCATTGCGTGTTGACATCCCTCTACTTGATCAGGAATTTTATGGTGGCCAGATATCCAACTATCAGCAAGAGCTGAAAACAACTGGTGTCATGTTTGAATTTAAGGATGCTTGTCAATTTATTGGGGAACATTTTATGTCTCTGGCGGCTTCTTCAACTTTGTCTAAAAATGATGTCTTCTCAATACTTAATTTCATTAGGTATTTGAGGGATAAATATTTTTCTCCCGATGAGTTCATCAACAGTATCAAAGATAGGAGTTGGTTGCAGACAACTCAAGGCAAGAGGAACCCAGGACAATCTGTTTTCTGTGATAACGAATGGGCTGCTGCCTCACAGATCAGCGATATCCCATTTGTTGATCAAAATTATTATGGTCAGGGTATTCTTGCTTACAAGGAAGAACTCAAGCTGCTTGGTGTCGTCTTCGGTTTCAGTCAAAATTTCCAGCTAGTTGTTTCCAACTTGAAACCTTCAGAAAAATTGAGTTCACTAAGTGCTGAAGCAGCTCTCATGGCACTGGACTGTATTCGTCATCTAAATTTAACATCTTCTGATAGACTATGCGGGGCACTCAAGGAAAACAGATGTCTAAAGACGGTGAATAAGGGATACAAATTTCCTGCTGAATGTTTCCTACCTGATCCAACCTGGGGTTGCCTTCTTCAGGTTTTTGACAGCTTCCCCCTCATTGATGAAAAGTTTTATGGAAGCAGAATCTTTGGCTACAAGAATGAGCTACACAAATTGGGAGTGATCCATGGTTTTAATGAAGTGACTGAAAAATTTGCTCGTGTTTTTAGGCAGCGAAGTGCTTTGAGTAATAGCAATGCACTTTCTTTCCTTGCATGCTACAGGAAATTAAAAGCAACCAGCTTCAATTTACAGTCAGATCATAATGTTGGGAAATGCATTAAGGAGGTAAAGTGGCTAAGAACTCAACTAGGAGTCACTTGTACACCAAAAGAGTGCATCTTGTTTGGAGAAGATTGGAAATCAATCTCTTCTGTCTCTCTATTACCATTTCTGGATGATGCTTACTATGGCCAGGACATTAAGGAGTATGAAGCTGAGCTTAATAAAATGGGCGTTGCTACCACATTTAAAAAGGGCACAAAATTTGTGCCTGCAAGCATTCGTCTGCCTCAGAACCCAAGTTGTATTTCACCTTCTGTTGCATTTTCAGTGTTGCAGTGCATACAGAATTTGCTTAAGGATCATGAAGACAATCTGATCTCTGATCTTGTGAAAAAACTTAATCAGAAGTGGATCAAAACTCAAGGTGGTTACCGAAGTCCAAAAGAGTGTTTGCTTTACAGTTCCGATTGGAATGACACGTTGAAGCAAGAGGATGGACCCTTCATTGATGAAAAGTTTTATGGTCCAAATATTTTGTTATACAAAAAAGAAGTCGAAGCTTTGGGAGTTGTGGTTGAGGTGAAAAATGGATGCTCATTGGTTGCTGATTACCTTGGTGTGCATTCTAATCGCACCACTATCAATCGGATATATACATACTTGTATAAACATGACTGGCTTCCTAGAGGTGATAATGTAAGTGCAGAGATATGGATTCCCAATGGGGAGAATAGCGGAAAGTGGGTGAGTCCTCAGGATTGTGTTCTCCATGATAAAACCAATCTTTTTGGTTCACAGTTGTTTGATTTAGGGAAGTATTACAGTAAGGAACTGCTGGGTTTCTTTGGCAAATTGGGAGTTAATAGCAGTCCTTGCCTGGAGGACTATTTGAAGCTGTGGAAAGCATGGGAGTGTGCAGATAGGAGATTGATGGGTTCTGAGTGCTGTGCCTTTTGGGAGTTTGTAGTGAAGCACTGGAACTCAAAGACAAAAAAATATGTTGAAGAGAATTTATCAAAACTTCCGGTTTGTTCATACTCAGGGGGTCCAAATGGGGGGATTTTGCTGGTTGACAAACATGAAGTTTTTATAGGTGATGATCTCTACTTGAAGGAGGTTTTTGAAAAAAGTTGTGTGCAGCAGGAGGAGGGGATGTTTGTTTGGTACCCCCAGCCAAGCCTTCCATCCTTGCCCCGAACCAAGCTTCTCAATATCTACAGTGAAATTGGTGTTCCAAGATTGTCTGAATCCGCCCAGAGCAGGGAAGTTTCTTCAATTGAGTGTGCTGGACTGGAAAGGGCGAATCCGGAAATGATGTTTGTTGGGAAGAATATGTTGAGACTCATTCTTGGTTTTCTAGCTCAGGCTTGTGTGGAGATGGAAGCGGAGAAGAGGCACGAGGCTGTGAGGCGGCTTGTAAACACCAGCTTTCTGGAGCTGAAACGACCAATCACAGTTGAGTACAAGGTGTCATTTTCGTCGGGGGAAATCCTGAGTGCTAAAGGAAGCAGAATGATGCGATGGGAGAGAGAGAAGTCTAAGTTCTTCATTACAAAACTCGAGAAATCAGATGGTTACAAAGGTGTCCTCGAGTATGCTACATATTACTCAGAAGAAGTTGCAAAGGGAATATTGTGGGAGAAAGAAGATGAGGAGGTGTGGGAGCTTGCTGAATTCATCAAGTTAGGCTACATCCTCAAGTTTGACCAAGAGGCTATCAGGTTCCTGATGAAGACAAAGAATCTTGAGATTTTCATGGAGGATGAACACTTTCTCTCATCTCTCTTTCCTGATGATGATGAAGAAGAATAGGCCAGGCCAGGCCAGGTATGTTTTTTTACTTTTCATGACAAAATGCTTTAATTACAAACTGTTGCATTCCTGGCCAGGTATGATGAACAACATTAATTTTTATGAATTCAGATTTCTTCATTTGGCAAGGCAAGGGAAAAGAGAAGAGAAGAGTGAAGTGCAATATAATTATATTATATTATATTGGGTTGTTTTCTGTTGTGCAAGTACGTTAGTTGTATTATCCTGAAAATCTTTACTTACTAGGATTTACTATAATTTTTTGTTAAAGCTATAAATAATATCATGAAAGCTAAAGATTGGAGTAATGGAGATTGATCAAAGTAATTAAGTTTGAAATATTGATGAATTGATGACAGGCACTTACAGATAAAAATGTGAATATTACAAAGAGGATAGGAGATCAGATCAGAGATGATCAAATATATACATCCAAAATTAAAAAGGCAAAACAAAACACACACATATATATATAATTATATCAACGTTAATAAATTTGTTTGCCCCGTCCCGTCCCTTAGATATGATTAAGCCGCCATAGGTTTCTCAGGAAGACGATGGAAGCTGACATCTTGTGCAGAGCAACAATGTCCCATACTCAATAGTCTTTTCTTTTTGCCTTCTTTATTCTTTTCCTTCTTTGATGATACCTGCGTGCATGCAATATAATATATATTACAGTATATATAAACATCATCATCTAGCTCTCACACACATATATATTATATTACAATTATAATAAAATGTTTAAATTATTAAAATACAGATTTATGTTACATGCACAAATCACTGCTCCATAATGTGGCACAATCATAGATATTAATAGAATTAAAATTAATGCTTAAAATTTAATGGCAAAATTAAGGGTAATTAGCATTTTCTTAAAATAATAATAATTAGAATAAAGACCTTTGTAAGTGATGGTGCTTTGGAAGTGTAGGACATGCTCTTAACTCCATCGATTTCACCTGAAACATATATAATCGCCATTTAATTTAAATATATTTAATAAATATACCTACTCCAAGTAATCCAAGACAGATTAAGATTATGGTAAATCCTACTCTATAAAACTAAATTATATTATAATAATTAAAAATTGTAAATAATCAATTACTATACGGTATGTATAGTATAATTTAATTTAATTTGCCAGATACTTAAAATTATTATTTGTACGTAATAATATGATATGATTAGAATAGTGGATGAAGAAAGACATACCTTGAGAATCATTTTGTTTAAAATATTCCCTAAAGCTTGGAGAAGCAGGATATTGGATTGTTTCATCCCTATCTCTATCTCTATCTCTCTTTGGTTGAATCATTCTCCCACCATGAGCGGGGGAAGGGGCGTCCATCCTGTCAGCATTCATCATTCTTGAAACACCACAACCCATTTTGAACAACTGAAATTTGGTGTTTAAGTTAATTTAAGGTTTTCTGCGCTTTTTAAGACAATCAGAATTCATGTTCACTGTTCAATTTTTTTCCCTACATTCTTACCGGTGCTGCGATAAAGTCTCACATATTTTGACCAATTTTTTTTCCTTTATATTCTACCCTACAATATAATATCACTCTTTGACTACTTTAAAAAAAAAAAAAAACTATTGACCTTTTCATAACAATGCAATTTTTCTTAATATATCCACAGTAAAATTCATCAACAAAATGACTACTTGACAATATAAATATTTTATTCCAAAACTTGTCCATACAGAACTTAATAATTGCATAATAATTCTCTGCTGACAAAATGCCATACATATAATTATTTCAAGAGGAATGTAAATGTGCATATGCTCCAAGACTTGTTCGTTCTTTTTTTAAAAAAAAAAATCACAAAAATATACTAGCATGTAATCAATCAGTAAAAACTCACTTCACATTGTACCAATGGATAGCTCAAGAGGCTGCAAAGTTGATAGAAATTAACATTTTCTACTACTGAAGGGGAGAACATGAGACAATCATAACTAGTGAAGATTACAAGAAGTTGGTTCTCTTTAGTTAATAGACTGAAAGCGCTTTATGATTAAGACACTCATATCCATATAGCGCTGGGCGCAGTTGTTTAGGCAATTTGTTTCACTGGAGCTGAACTTGCTTCCTGGAGTGCTAGTGATGCATTTGTCCCAACATGAACTTGTGATCTTTCCAACCAACTCATTGATCATTGCCCTTTGCTTTTCTTCCTGCAAAAGGTCGAACAAGTCAGTGTCTCACAGAACATCTAACACAGGACACGAATGCTTAAAATGTTAAATAACATGGTCAGTCGGTCTGTAGATGGGGTACCAAATCTTTTATTGTCCTACATTGTGGAGTGAGCAACAAGGGCAATTTCTCAAAAATCTGAGGAAAGGACTAGCATGCAAAAGGAACAAACAAGATGGAACATTGAAGTCAGAGGCACACCTAGCTAGTTGCTAGTTGCTAGACCAAGATTCAATTTTGCATAAACAATCAAGAAACTCGTGCAACATTCATCAACTTACTATAGAAATTCATAAGCAGCAGCAGCAGCAGCAGAAGGAAAAATAAAATAAAATAGAACAGAACTTTTTAAAAGCCATCCATTATTCCACACCTCTTAAATCAATAATGGGATATTTTAAGCTTGATAAAGGTGTTTACTTATGACTCTAGTCTGCTATTTCGCAGCTCTAAGTCATTTGCAGGTTTAGAAATCCAAAGGATAAGCCTATAATATACTATTATACTACAATGGCAATGTCCCTACACTTGTACACTCTGAAAAGAGTATAACAAGTCTTAGCATAGACATGGGCGAAGATCCTAGTCCTAGAAGAAGAATAAGAATATATTTCTGCGTAAGTATACATACCATGTTGTCAATTTTATCACAGAAAACTCCCTCTTAACACTATGATTACATATATACATACATTCCCAAGGATAACTTAAAAGAGAACAGACAAACATAAAAAGCAAATGAATATATGTGTGTGTGTGTAAAGCTTACATTGAGAAATTGTTGCATCTCGGCGGATTTCAGAGCTGAAGCATCCATGGCTGAGTCGAGGCGAGGGTAGACTGTAGAGGGAGTAGCTTAGGGAAGGAAGTGAGAATCCATCCAAGCGGAAAACCCTAGTAAAGGCTAAAGCGGGGAGGGACATTCAAAGGGCCTGCTGGCTGCTGGGCGTTGTTAAGCCCACTTTCGTCCATTGGACTAAGTTAATAAATAATAAAAAAAAAAAAATTAAAAAGGACCAAATTTGAACTTATTACAAAAGTTAGTTTGGTAAATTGTAAAATCAAGAGCTCATTTTGAAAATAACCAGAGAAATAAAGTGAACATTTTTTTTGTGTCCTTAAGATTTTCATAAAAGTTGAATGATAATGAATTTCACATGTTTTGAATTTTTGATATTTGTTTGTTGTTTGGAATGTCCATAATAATATTAAATTATGATTCTTTTAGTAGGTTAAAATATTACTTTGTAGTCATAAAAAAATATGATTAAATAGGTGGAACATGATTCTTGTTCTAGAGAATTATGAGTTCAATTCTTGCTCATTATTTACCTCCCCTCCCTTGTATGAGTATTCATTCTTACTATTTCTGCTCTAAATTAAACCTAAGGGTGTTAGCAAACAGAGCTTTCGATAAATTACTCGTGTTCGTGTTTGGTAAGCATTCGTTTATTAAAATAAACGAACATAAATAAACAAATTTTAGAGCATGTTCATGAACATAAATTATTTATTGTTCATGAACAACTTGTGATCATAAACATATGCATATGTGTTTGGTTATTAAGGCATTAAGCGCTCATGAACGTGAACATGTTCGTTAACATTAATGAATATGCTCACACGTTTGTGAACATGTTCGCAAACGTTAACAAACAAATACGAACACAATTTTTGAAAACCTTAATAAACAAACACGAACACTCAAATAATCTTAACAAACGAACACAAACAACCTCGATTCATTCATGTTCGGTTCGTTAACAATCCTATTTAAACCACTTTACCTAAAAAAAATTCCCTCCCTGTGATTTATACGGAAAAAGGATACATCCGGCTAGAGCTAGTGTAGTGTAGTGCAATAACAACATATACATATACATATATACATAAAATATTAGTCCGTACAATATAAACTCGTAGATATTGATGTAAAATTAAATTTGAGTGAGTGTTGGTTGGTTCCACCAGAATAATCACACTTTAAAGATAATAGATTCTGTTAATGAAAAATATAAAACACATATACACGCCGCCACCATAACATTTGAGGATTGTGTGTTGATTCTTGTTCATTTTCTTTTTGCTCTCTGAAGGGTGAAGCGATATATTGTTAGTTCCACCATTATCCTTACCCTTCTTCTTCTTCTGTTATTGAGCTGATAACATTAGTGTGATTGGAGTTCCCAAATTCTGATGATGCCATTGCCAGGGCAGCAATTTCAGGTGGTAGATCCAAGCTCCGGCTTCTCCTTCCCCAACTAGACCGCCTAGGGTGTAAGATGCTCCGCCCATCTCCGTCTCCGTCTCGCTCTAGCTCTATGGATGCTGATTTTTTGTTAATTTTATCCAGGAGATCATCATTTCTAGGCAGCCCTTCCAATTCACCAGTGCTTGTCACCCCATCATCACAAACTGGTTTCCTTCTCATTTCTATGTCGCTCATGGTTTTCTCCAAGTTTGGGCTATAACCACCACCTACTACACGAGGTTGTATCTCAGCCTCTTTCTGGAGCTTTGCCCTGAAATTGTTCTTTGAAGGAGGAATACTTGTACAGAATATCTCCATGAAGTTTTGAATTGTCCCTTTATTAAATGGGTTCACCCGCTGATCATACCGATACCTAAAGTTCTCGTATGTTGACTGCAATCATATTAATGGCTTCACCAAACCAAACCACTTAACAATTCACTAACAACTAAATATACAATAACAGAACAAGGCACATACCTGGTTTGTGCTGATGAGGTAAAGATGGAACACTGTAAGCCCACCAACAAACCAGACAGATATAAAAGTATAAATAATAAGCACAATTGAGGCCGGAGTCTTGGCCATTGCTTTCCAGATTGAACTCTGCTCACTGTCCATAATCCTTCTAATATACACCCAGCAAAATGCATGTACATACAAGCAAAGGAGTGTTGTCGAGAAAACAAACATAAAGAAGAAGCGATAATTCCTCTGCAACAGGAATCAGAATTCAATTATGTTAGAGGCGAAGGCACTATAGCATGTAAACAATAACAATTTCATCACAAAATTGAAGAAATGGCGGAGAAAAAGAAGAAAAGCATATATGGGGGTGGGGTTCGTGTGACTATACAATGCAAAAGCATAAAATTTATTGAACACAAAAACAAAACCAGTTGCCCATTATAATGTCTCTGCAACTTCATTTATCCAAATTATGCACACCCAAATATTTATGAAGAATTCAGTGCTGCTACCATTAATGAATCAAAGATTCAAGAAAGCTGGCTGTGGTGACAAGAACATGAAGCCACAACTTCATGAATGCATTCTAGATTCTTTGGGCCTTGGAAACAATCAAAGGTTTTATACATTGATGTAGTAAATACTCAACCACATCAAATTAAGCTCAAATGGGATGTGAAACAATGGGAAACTTCAATTTAGTTAATCACTTATCCAAAGCAGATAACTTCAAAGTTTTGGCCATCAAATGCTTTATGTTTTTAGCACAAACCAGTATTAGAATTATGCCCAATTTGGTATTTAACATTTCAATATCAAAGAAACCATATTGGTGGGGAACTCAATTTTTTTTTTTTTTAATTTTAAAAATAAAAATGGAAGAGAAAATTACAATGTGATATGGAAAAGAGAGAAGAAAAAGCAAGTATGACTATCTCCCAACACGTAATAGGAAAGTGGTAAATTTCCTTTGTGCTATAGCTCTATCACTGGTCTTATGCAATTTAAAGATTGCAATACTTACCAATCCAATACATTGCCCAACCCAAGGACAATGATGATCGAAGCGTTCCACACAGTTATTGCAAATTGAACAGTGTGAGCAACGTGGGGGCCTATAAAGCATGCAGGTATCACAGTATTTAACTTTCACAATTATTCCATTGACATCTACATCCTTCACACGGGGCAAACGTAACTGTGGAGTCTGCCCAGGTCCAGCTTGTTTGTTCCCTTCAAAGTTTTCCGGCTCAGGGGGATGAGGATTGCGAGGAATAATACCTGGATCTCTTGCAGAAGTCAGGAGCAGGAGGACCAAGTCCTTGGAAAACAAATAAATCAAAAGTTAAGTTTTTCCTGATAGTATGAATTCCTCTTTGCAAGCAGATAACATACAATCTAGAAAAATACCCCAGTTTTATTCCCTCACAATAATAGAATGGATATAAAGTATTACCAACCATTTTTCGTCAGCAGTACTGCTTCTATATTATGCTCTAAAAAAATTGTAGAAAAATGCAATAAGGCTCCATATTTCCATCTTTATTTAATGCATAGAGTAAATATACAATGTGGTGCCTCTTTCACCATCATCAAGACTTCCACACCCTTGTGAAAGGATTGGTAGAAAGTTCCACGGTATTCAGAGATATACCAATCGAACAACAATAAAGTCTACCTCAAACTTATGCAGAAAAAGCAAATTTCATATTCAAATGTATTTCAGTAATTTCGTGAAAACCTCTATTCTGCAGAAAATTATGGGAAGAATTAGATCTGATGTACTTCATGTGCTCTTTGGTTTGCTAACCTAAGACCTTTTGGAATAGCATATGAGCATATCTAATTAGTACTTCTATATAGGTCTAGTATTCTCGTGGGATCATGACCAGATAGCAATACAGTTGAATGTATGAAATAGAATTCATATAGCCAACCCCAACTAGGGGTTAAAAAGTGTGTTCAGGTAAAATTAGAAGAAACTGCTATCCTTTTTAGCAGTTTCTTTGCTGCCAAATCAGCACCTAACTTGTATTTGCATGCGCAGTTTTTCTGAGGAGGTCATAGACAAATCCTCTTCAGCTAGACTTCAAATTTCTAAGATAAATCTTGCAGAATATAGCACTACAGCAACAACACTTCTGATAATTGTGGATTTGATCTTTTTTACTACACAATAATTACAATTTCTTAATCCCAGCCGACTTTAAGTAGAAAAATTATATGAGAGTTAAGTGGCGGCCACTATTGCAGGAATTAAAGTTGAACAGTTTGCTCAAAGATAATGTGGATCATGACAAGTTAATCTACTTCCAAGTTTAAATTTCTCTTTGAGACATTCAAGAATATATTTCTCCAAAACCCACTATACACGTGGATTTTGTTTAAGTCACTTTATGAGATAGAGGTTTATAACCTTTCTCATCTTGCGCGAATTAACTCTTAAAACAATGAAATGATAAATAAAAATTAAAAATTTAAAAACATAACAGGCTCATCAATCACATTAAAAACACGTACTTCTGCACTACTCCTTTTCTCAAACATTTCAGAAGATTAGATAGATGGTATTGTTAGCCTCTAACTTTAGCAGCAATACCTTGCTTAAGCCATTTGCAAGCTACATTTCGGTTGATGTAATGAACCAGAAAAGTTAACCCTATGAAGGATTGGAGTCAATTCACAATCTGAGTCCATAACTAATTGGAAGTAGTTGTTCATGGAAGCCCTAGCCCCTATGAGGAAAAGCAAAAACCCCCAATAAATCCTCACTTGAATGAACAAACTTCTGAGCTCTTTCCCTACTGCTTCTTTGAGGTGATGTTACCATTGTTAAAAAATAAAAACAATGAGGTTGAAGGTCTAGCAAGTGGCAAAGGGCCACCACCTGCTCAAAAGGTGGAAACTGTGAAGTTTTAAGAAAAGAACAAATGGGGCCAAACGAGGGAAAGATATGAGAAGAGATTAATTGCATATAACAATGGTTGATATGGATCTAATATGTCACTCTTGCTTACTAGGAAAGCTCTCATTATTAATGGGCAACCATGGGCCATTTATATGTACTAGGAGAAGCACCAAGTACAAAACATTTGAAGGATGAACATTTTTTGACACACTGCTAACTTTCAACTGAAATATACTAATTTATGTTCATCTGTTTATCATAATAGCAAAGATTAAGTGAATGTAAAACAATTCAAAATTTTCACTAATCTACAAAACTTTGCACACATCACTTTGTCAATGACAAAAAACAATAAGTTCAATGATAGAGAAATATACCACCAGATATGTAAATCAGGGATACAAAAGCCCATAATGAAGAACATTAAGCCAACAGTTCATCCCTCTAGTTTGCTATTAGCAGAAGAATTTAGGGACTTACATAGAGTGTGAAAAGAACAACTACAACCATAATTGATATCCCCCAATCACCAGCAAAATCATCCATCAATTTTCTAGCTATAAAGACACAGAATACTGCAACAGGTGCAACAATGAGGAATATGGTCAGAAAGATAGATCTACCATCAGGTCCAAAGATGAGCCTCCCTTGAAGGCAAAATCTCTGCATTGTAGAAATAAAACATGGTCATGTAAATAATAATGGAAAGACTACATCTAAGGCAGCGTCAAGAAACAGCATTGTCAAATTGTCTGGAAACAAATCTCCGTAGAACCTGTGCCAGTAGGAAGACTGCTCAAAAAAGTAAAGCTCCTAACTGTCTATGAATAAAACAGTCTGCCCATAAAATGAATTAGAAAAGTTTGAATTTCATTTAGAGTAGTTTTGTGTGCACAGAAAAGGTTAAGTTTGCTATTCACATTTTCAAAAGTTTTCAAATGATTGGCTAGAAATTTTTTCCAAACTTAAAGGCACTAGATATTTGTAAACATTATTTGAACAAGAGGCCAAAAATTTGCAAGAAACTATATAGGGTGGGTCTAGAAACCATCTAATAGCTTTAAGTGAGAGTCTAGAATGCACTGTCTGTAGGTTAGTACATAGGTTGGCAACAAATCCCTATTGCAGATTCATAATTTCAAATGAACTTAAGCAATCCAATGAATTCTCATTGTGACAACAGCATTTGAAAAGATTGGGCCAAGTCAAAACTATTCAGCAAAGAAAGGTCATGGAGAAACAAAATGAATTTCTTTTACTAATTTGTCAAAGCTAGTACATAGTACAAATTAGTAAAGCAATCAAGTGAACTGTTACATTCCCTGAACTCAAAAGAATATTCCTGATTACTACTTTTTTAAGCATTCAATCTTCCCTGATCAAGGGAGCAACCGCTACTCAGCTACTCTCTTGATAAGTAAAGATAAAGAGCTATGTGCAATCAGAGCAATCACAACTTTCTAAATATACCATTTTAACAGATATTCGTTGTACAAATGCAACCATTTAAGTAAATATGCAATTATATATAAACACGGTGGTAATTATTATTATCATTATCATTTCCTACTTGAATGCAAAGCTAAAAAAACAAACATCTGGATATTCAGATGTGAACAATTAATTACCAATAGGATGTAAGATGGAAACTCAATCATAGATAAAAGGAAACAAAATCTAATAAGAACAAAAATTGTGAACAGAGTTCAAACATGGAGACATCAACAAGATTGTAAAGCATGACTTATTCAAATCTAAATAGATATCATACCCATACTAGCTAAAAACTTTTATCTTTCAGAAAAAAATATAAATCTATTTATATCAAATACCCTTTACTCAGTTCTGCAGTTGAAAATCAGAATTAGAAGGACAAAGAAATTACGTTGCTGCCTTTCCAGGCCTGGTAGGACCGGATAACAGGTGCAGAATCGGCAGCGGCGCCGGCAGAATCAGAATTCCTCGGCGGAGCCACCCCATACATTTCTTTGAGCGGAAAGGTATAATTGTTGATTGAATGGTGAGGATTGAAATGGGGAAGACAGCAAAGGTCAAATGGTAATGGGAACTCAAAAGGAAAAAGAAAGGGAAAAAGGCGGCTGCTTCATTATCATTTACTACTATTTCCTTTTATAAATAACTCTCTCTTTCTCTCTACTATTTTCTTTTTTTATTGCTATGTTTACCAGTACTAATATTTGGGGATTTGACTTGGCCTTGTCTGGGACAGACTGCATGCGCCAACCACGATTCTCGATGACGTCACAATCCGGTGACGACTAGATATCAACTACTGTAATACCGGACTTCGTTTTAATTTATTATTATTCTTACGGAGTATAATTAATTTTAAAATTCTTTAGAATACAGTATTATATTATATCTTACTCCGTATATATATTTTAAATAATTTTGTTTCAAAGGTATTGTTACACACTTCATTTGTGTTTTAAAAGGTTTATTTTTTAAACTATTATTATTCTTCTCACAAAAGGTTGAATCCCCAACCCTAAAGGTCCCACCCTAAAGGAATCCCGTTAGGGTTGGTTCTGGTTCGTGCTGGTGCTGGTCGGGGTTCGATGTTATTGGCTGCCTTGTTCTATGATTGCTTTATCTGTTGGCCTGTGATTGCCTGTATTTTTATGTAATGCTTTGACTGAGGCTTGTGTGCCGACATTCTGCTTTACCGTTTTGTCGGGTTGGTGTGTATTGTTGCTTTTAACAGGGCAGCCAATAGCACCCCAGGAGATGTTGCGGTCATGGTTGCAGCCCGGTTGGACTGTATTATGCTATGTGCAGTTGGCAGGGAGGCGCTATGGGTCGTGACAGGCAAGGTGGCTGTTCCCCTTGTCATTTGTCTCCTCGACTATATGATGGCCGTGAAAGCAGCTGGGTTATACTTGCATTTATATTTTCGGGCAGCTGCGCAGTCTAGTGTTAGTTATCTAGCATGGGAGTTGGGGCATGTATGTTATAGCCCCGGGGGCCTTCCTTTTGTAATCTCTTTTTATTTTCTAGCTTAGTATTAGTTAGTGGGATTCTGGCCGTGTGTGGCCTAATCCCTTGGACGTTGTATTGGCTTCGGCCTTTCTTTCTATTAATAAAGTATGATTTTTTTTATTTTTTATTTTTTAAAAAAAGGCCCCACACTCCGACCCCACCGAATATGTGGGAGGATGTAAATCACGGTAACTCAATGGTTCAGCAAACAAGGCCAAATACCGATAAACACAAGGAATCTGCTCACTTTGAACATAATTCTCACACTGCTGGCGCTGAGGTTCAAACCTAAACTATTATACTCTCCGTATATAAAGAGAGGAACCCAAAATCCAAAACATATCAACCCTTAGAAGTTGGAATATTTATCGAAGACACACATACAAATCAAACATATTATATTAGGACCCTTCTATTTATAGAGACAATAAACATATTTGAAAGATAACGATAAAAGTATGAAAGATCTAATTGAATCCAAATCTATTTGGACTTCAAGTTATTGTATTCTATAACCAACAACAACAACAAAAAATGTATCCAAATATAATGCATACAAATTCACAAAAAAAAATGCAATTCAAAATTGACATTTTTCGTGCATATTAAATACACAATTATTCACTAAATTTTTATTTTCACTTACAATTAAGACAAATTTATTGATTCTAAAAACATAGTTACCAGATACAAAAATAATGACTTTATATATAAAATATATATATTTTTTTAAATGGGCTCTCCTAAAATTGGGAGTAATGTGCCATCGCCTTGGTGCACATGGTTAGGGGTAGCCTTGAAACAAATATAACCATTTTGCTCAACATATAGCGTACCTCATACAAGTAAATAAAGTTGAGCTTCTTCGTTCAATTTTGTTCAATCCTCGTAGAAAATAAGTCAATTCGTACTCCGTTCATCTCTGACAATATTTATGATTTGGGGAGGACATTTAGGGATTTAATGGAAAGAGTTAATATATTTTGGCCTTGATGGGTAAATCTAAAAACATAATAAGTCTCAATCAAAGTTATACTCCTCATTTATGCTCATGTTTTTAATGCTAACCATTTTGTACATTGTGCTTTTAAAGTTGTACTATACAATTTTTTTGGACAAAAATACCCTTATCCCATTATAACTTCCGTTATCTTTTCCATTACTTTTACCATGCACATGCACCTACTATATATTTTCTTATATTCTTTAATTATAACAATATTTGTAAAACATTATATATTCATTATATATTAGATTAATATAATAAATAAATTTTATTTCACTTAGATTTTAATTAGTAAAAATTTGTTAGCTATTTTAAAAAATATAAATATTAGGCATATGTTTTTGCGCATCGCGCATAGAAAAGACTAGTAGTTAGCATATATGTCAATTCTGACTTATTTGCCCACTATTACCTGTTTGACATGGTTAAAAATCAATATAATTGTTTGGTTAATTAGCTTTTTGTGACTCTAAAATACTACAATTCAAAAAGCTGCTCAAACCAATTTTTTTAAATTAACTTTTTAAGAAAATAAATTATACCAAACAACTATCAGCTAACATCTAATTTACTAAACACATTTCTATAATAAGCTAATGTTATTAACTAGTTATACCATCTAATTAACTCAATCAACTAATAACTGAATGAAGTTGTTTGATTTTTCAAAAAAAAAAAAAATCATTTACCAAACAGATCCTTTATTTAAAATGGTAAATTATATTAATAATAATATAAAAAGTCAAATCAACCTACATATTGCACTTCTATGACATGGCCAATGGCCATTTTGAAAGTTTTTCTAATAATTATTCCAAGTTCACATGTTCAAAGGTAAAAATTTATGATGACGACACCGTTATCTCATTTTTTATGAAAAATGTTATATCTAATCTTAAATTATACTTATAATTTTCACTCCTATCAAATGTTTAATTTTGATTGGATGAAAAAAAAAATAACAAAAATCATGCTTCACGTCTTTTTATGAGACAATCAAAACATAACACATAGTCTATATATATATATATATATATATATATATATATATATATATATATATATATTTAAAGTATGAAATGAGAGTGCATATATTACTTTTTTTTTTTTTTTTAACTAGGCAACCAGGCTACTTTGACTCTTCGAGGAAGCATAATTATAGTGCTATACGGCAAATTATTGGTACATACAATATTATGTGAACCATAATAAAAAATATATTTTTAATATATTAAATTTACATTATTTTTGTACTGAATGTATATTATATAATATAATATACACTCAGAACAAAAATAATGTACATTCCCTGAATATAATGTACATTAACTTTTTATTGAATGTACATTATTTTTGTATTGAATGTACATTATTTTACAGTAGACAAAATATGATCCACACAACTTGTATGGACCATGATCCATACAATAATGATTGAGTATTATACTGCCAAGCAGCAATCGTTATGCGTTGGACCCGTGTCCAGCATGCTTGCTGGACATGGGTAACAATGCCGTTAGGCACTGTTATCTCCTTTTTTTTTTTTTTTTTTTTTTTTTTTTTTAATTTCAGACCGCTTCGTTATAGAAGTATATGTTCATAATTTTATTACTATATGTTAATAACTGTACATTCATAACTTCATAACTGTACATTCATAACTCTATAACTGTACATTCATAACTCCATAATTGTACATTCATAACTCCATAACTGTACATTCATAACTCCATAATTGTACATTCATAATTTTCGAAGCTCTATGTTCACAATTTTAGAGCTCTATGTTCATAATTTTATTACTATATGTTCATAATTGTAAGTTCATAATGTTAGAGCTCTTTGTTCATAATTCGATCAATAACTGTACATTCATAATTCGATCAATAACTGTACATTCATAATTCCATAACTGTAGATTCATAATCTCATAATTGTACATTCATAACTCCATAACTGTAGATTCATAACTCTATAAGTGTACATTCATAACTCCATAACTGTACATTCATAATCTTCGAAGCTCTATATTCACAATTTTAAAGCTCCATGGTCATAATTTTATTACTATATATGTTCATAATTGTAAGTTCATAATGTTAGAGCTCTGTGTTCATGATTTCATAATTGCATAACTGTACATTTATAACGGCATAACTGTACATTCATAATCCAAAAAAAAAAAAAAAATAACGCCGTTAACGACAAAACGCACGTGATTTTTTTTTTTTTAAACTAAATGACGCGTTTTTTTTTTTTTTTTTTTGAAAAACGACGTTTTTGGCCCGTGTCCACAATTCATTGTGGACACGGGTCCAGGGCATAATTTGCCGCCAAGCAGCCAGCAAGTTGACAAGTACATTGTTTTGGGCTGGGCTTAGCATACTGGATCATTTTATAAGAATATAAGTATACAACTTATTTGTTGGGCAACCTACTATGATTACTAGCCCAATAATTGGGCCATGTTCTTGTTGGACACATAATTATCGCAGGGGTAGATCTAGATCGAGTAATTAAAGGAAGAAATAGTCCAATTTGACAATATACACCAATAGAAGTATAGAACCATGGCTTAAGTGAAAATTGGTGAACTTACATGAATATACTACATTGTGTACTTAGAGTATTAGCGCGTCCATATACACACATTAACATTTTGTACGCGCAATGGTGAAAATTCATATCTAATATTAACATGTTAATAAATATAAATAATTAAAAATTTATAGTTCAAGTTGTATATGTACAAATAATATATGTATTATATATACACATATGATTTACCATTCATATAAATTAAATAAAAATATAATTAAAAATTAAATTAATTATATAATAATTTTAATAGAATGATAATTAAATAATAGGAAAAAAGATATGATAGATGTAAGTATATGGTAATAATAATTGAGTCATCAATGTTATAATTAAATAGTAACGGAGTTATAATTATGTAATGGTACTTTTGTCTAACAAAAATATAATAGGGATAATTTTGTCTAATAAAATTGACGTGTACAACATTTAAAGTAAAATGTATGTCTTTATTAGCATACAAAAATCGAACATAAATCAATAATATAACTTAGATTGGGACGTATTATGTTTTTAGATATATAGTGACATGAAACATCTTATATGACAAAGTTTAACAAAAAATGAATTAATAATAATTAAA